TTTCTTGCTGCTCTTAGTATCCATCTAGAGACCAGCCGTCTACGTACAGCTGCTAAGTTCTCGTCTATGCTTAGCTCTCTTGTCTACTGCGTACGCGTATTAGCGATAGAGTTCTTTCTACTAGCAGATGAGCGGGCTGAACAAGGTGCTGCTGAGACGAGTAGCTTTCTTAAGCAGCGTGCTCGCTATCTAGTAGACGGCTCGTATAGCCCGATGAGTACTATGCTAAGTTTACTAGCATACGCTAAGTTTATTGCCCTGCGTACGCCTAGCACTATCGCTGGCAGCATGTGGTAGTCTACAGATCGACAGACGTTCTATATTAAAGGCCGGCCTATCGTACTATAGCAGTTCCGCGAGCTTGCGTAGGGCGTCGTCGCTAAGGCAGAACGGGTGCTGTGGGAAGAGCTGCTGTGGATGAGCGAGCACGAGGATTGGCCGACGACTAGGCTAGCTAAGATACAAGACGACGTTTCTATCCGGCAGCGTGGGGTGTGCTACTTGTCACCATCACAGCTACAGCAAGGGCAAGCGTGGGTGCTAGATTGATTGGCTAGAGTAGCTGGGGCGCAGAAGCTCTATCAACAGCGCGTGGGACTGCAGCGAGAGCAGCTAGAGTAGCTAGAGCAGCCAGAGCAGCCAGAGCAGCTGCCAACAAGCAGTAGCTATCTACCAGATTAGAGCATGGAGTGGAGACCCTGAGCTGTCCAACATTATCTTAAATAGACGGATCGTTTTCTTAAGCTACTTTGTTTAGCTGTCTATATTACAGGCGGGCAGCTAGCTCGTGGGCTAGAGCTGCTCTCCGTACGCTGGCGCAACGGCGTGCTATAAGACCGCAATCTCTACGTTATGGACGGCCAAGTCGTAGTAATTACTCGCTATCACAAGACGCAATCGCAGTGGGATAAGCCTAAGGTAGTCGCGCGGTTTCTGCCTAAGGCAGTGGGCCAGCTAGTCACGGCGTATCTGCTCTATCTACGGCCCGTACGCGCGATGCTCCTTAGTAGCTAGGGTAAAGCAGCTACTGCGTCAGTAAGTGACTATCTGTGGGCGAACGACAGCGGGCCGTAGGATACAGATCGGCTTATACGTACGATGACGGTAGAGACAGCAGAGCGGCTAGGATCGCGGCTAATAATAGCTGAGTATCAGTAAGTAGCTGTTAGGATTAGGCGAGAGGTAGTAGGGGAGCGCTTTGCTGCAGGCTATAATAAGCAGCTAGACGGGCGATCTAGAGCTGCTGGTGCTAGTGGTAATGGAGACGTTAGCTCGGACGAAGATGAAGATGGAGAAGATCTACTAGAGCTGCAGAACGGGCGATCTATAGCGATAGGTATAGTAGCGTACGCAGTGTAAGCAGATATCGTTTAAGGGCTAAATCCACGATTGATTGACGTATTTCGTACGCTAAGCTTAGCGTGGTACGCGTTCCTTAGGCTATTAGTAAAGGCAGCAGAAGGCGTAGGGTTGGTAGGAGAGCAAGAGAGAAAGCGAAAACAGGCACTAAGCTGCCCAGACTACTCGACACGGCTACAGCCGCAGCTCCAGCCTCAGCCCAAGCACGAGACTACGCAGCAGCTAGCAGCAAAGAGAGCTAAGCTGACGCAGGCGTACTAGGCCAACACGCGTACAACGACAGAGAAGCAGCTTATAGATGCTATTCGCCAGGTACTATGTATCTCTACTAATCAGCCAGTTACCTATAGATCGCCAGATCAGAAGTGAGGGCTAGACGCCGTCGTACAAGGCGTGAGTCCTCTTATCGTCGTTCTACCTACAGGGGGAGGTAAAACACTTCTACCTTTTACAGCTGCTATCCTTAATTATAGCCAGCAGATAGATCGGCTGAGCGTGACGATTCTCGTCGTCCCATTTCGGGCGTTAATTGAGGATATGCTCGTACGGCTTGCACAAGCAAACATTTAAGCTATTAAGTGGCAGCCAGGCGAGGCAGGCGAGCTACATCGTCGTAGTCGACTAGCTAGCGTGGTGGTTATAAGTACTAACCACTTT